TTTTTTTTTAACTTCCCGTAGGGTAAGTTATTGTAATGGGCCGAAAATCGGAATTGAAAATTTTTACATTTCTCGACGTTTTGAAGGTTTCTGAACGTTTTGGCATACCCCAGAAAAAATGGATGTGTGTGTGTGTGTGTGTGTGTGTGTGTGTGTGTGTGTGTGTGTATGTATGTATGGATACAAATTTCCAGTCACGTTTTAGGGCGCACGGATCAACCGATTTGAATGGTTCAAAAAACATTCGATTTCTATTGATAGGGAAAAGAGCTGATTAGTTTTTGGCAAAGGCAGGTCCAGCCGTTTCGGAGATACGGTGCAAAGAGTGCAGAAAATAGAAATCGAATTTTTGAGAGAACGGAGTATCCGATTTGAATGATCTAAAAAACATTCAATTAGTAATGATTGGGAGAAGTGTTTATTAGTTTTTGGCAAAGGAAGGCCCAGCCATTTTGAAGATACGGAGCTAAATATGTAAAAAATGGCAGTTTTTGAGAGAACTAAGCGTCCGATTTAAATGATTCAAAGAACTTTCTGCTTGTCTTAACAAAATAATCGATTTTGGAAAAAAAAAATTGTCTCATTTTTTTTTTTTTTTTTTTTTTTTTTTTTTTTTTTTTGGTATATCGAAAATAGTTCAGATTTTATTTTCATTCTGACTACAGTTCTAATATAACTCATACAAATAATTTTAAATGTTTCAATATTTTTTATAATAATCTATTTGAAAACATTCAGTTCAGAAATTTTCACACAAAAAATGCAAAATTAACTAACAGTTATATATAAAACGCATATGATAATATTGAACAATACGATACAAAATTTTAAATTTCAAAGCCGGCTTAAAATAGCCTAGATATTATATAGCATTATCGAATAATAAAGTTTCTGACCTCGTGATAAAGCATGAATTTTATTTAAAAAAAAATTATCTAAGGCTGACCACCCCTTCAATTTAACCATAGTGCAAATAATTCCCGATGCGCACAAAAAATATAGTTGTTACATAGATTGCATACATTTTTTTGCATTTTTTATAAAAAATTGAGAGATTGAATATTAAAATCTTAACATCTTTAATCCCCGCTCTATCTTATATATATATATATATATATATATATATATATATATATATATATTGATTTGGAAATATTAACAAACAACACTCTTTTTCGCACTAATTTATTAAATAATAATTTAACAAACGTTTTGAGACTAGGCTAAATCTAAAATATGGAAAACTAAATTAGCATTATGCGTTATCCGTTACAAGTCGTTCAATGTGCAGTATTTTGAGTTCAGTATACAGAATATTGAACGACTTGTAACGGATAACACATAATGCTAATTTTGGTTTCCATATTTTAGATTTTAAATTATAACACACTGATGATGAGACAAACCTAGTCTCGAAACGTTTGTAAAATTATTATTTAATAAATTAGTGCAAAAAAAAGATGTTTGTTCACATTTCCAAATTAATATCTCTCTAGCCACTCAGAATACATTTGTTATATATATATATATATATATATATATATATATATATATATATGTACCCGGAATTTTCGTTTTTTCAAAAAAATATTTATTTATTCGTCTACATTAATGTGGTCCCCTTCAAAGTAGTCCCCCCCAGATATAATACACTTATGCCAGCGTTTTTTCCAATTTTCGAAGCACCCTTGATATTCACTTTTTGATATGTCCTTGAGCACTCTCAGCGATTTTCTTCAATCGAGGAAAACCGCCGTCCTTTCATGGGTCTCTTCAACTTTGGGAATAGGAAAAAGTCACACGGAGCCATATCTGGTGAATTTTTGCACTTTGCAACACTTTATTTCATTTTTTACGCAAAATTTAATACAAATTCTTTGACTTTTCAATTCTTCCATTGTAAAAATCGCCGAGCTCAGAAAAACACGTCGAACCTTAGCGACTACCACAGACAAAGTAAACAGTGAATATAGCTGAAAATTTCATCATACTTTAGGGGCATGTATACCAACACAATAAAAAAAAAATTTTGACAATCAGACACTCCAGACCCGCGAAATTTAATTATTAGTAATTCCGGGTACTTTTTGAACAGACCACGTATATATATATATATTAAATGTTAAATATAAACAATACAACACTCAGATTTTTAATACACACTTCATTTGGTAATTGCAGACGTTATATATATATATATATATATATATATATATATATATATATATGAGTGAGTTCTTGAGGGCGATACATCAAACAAAGAAATTGTTTCTTTGTTTGATGTATCGCCCTCAAGAACTCACTCATATATTTCAACATCAAAATTAACTACTAAATCATATATATATATATATATATATATATATATATATATTTGAAACTTTATCGAACCTTTAAGGCAGAAGCGCAAAATTAAAAAAAAAATTCAATCCAAACAATGATGTGGTCATTGCGATCTATTTGCATTTTTTCAGACAGACAGACAGAAATAAAAATTTATTCCTTATATTGGTACATACATTGAATTAAATTTGCATTTTTTCAGCAACATTGATAGGCTATATACACTTCATGTACTACGAGTCAATTCATGTAATCCGAGTCAGTTTGCGCATGCGCTCAATTGAATATATTTTGTTTTTATTGTGAAATCTCAGTTGGTTATGCTAACATATAAAAATAATTGATTATTTTGTTTTATTAAGTTAACAAAAATGAAATCTAAGCGTAAATCTGCTAAAACTAAAAATAGCTATAATAAACGACTATATGCCGCAAATGCAGTTAAAAAGAAAGATGTAGTTTCTAGGAAGGAGCAGCAAAGGATATGCAAAGAAAAATTGCGATCGGATTCGGTATACCGAAAATCCGAAGGAGAACTAAACAAAAATAGGATAGCGCATTTGCGCAAGGACGAAAGCTTTAGGAGAAGGGAAAAGGTAAGTAATAGAATACGTTTAGCGACAACTAGACATAGTGACAATAATTTCGCTCGGCTTGAAAATGAGAAGCATAGGAAACGTATAGCTATCAAGAGAAAAAATGATGAGATATTTAAAATTAATGAAAAAAATAAAAATAAAGTACGCATGCGTGAATATAGGAAAAACGAAAGTATAAGATTGGCTGAATATATGGCAAGAAAGCGCGAAGATAATGTTCATCGAGAGCGAAGGAGAAATGAGTTGCGTATGAAATTTTTAAGACAGGGTCAATATAAACTATCTGAAATTAATAAAAATATCGAACGGAATATAATTCTCCGTCAAAATTATGCATATAACCAGTTAGAAAATAATAAAAATAAGCTGCGTAATAGACTTCTTCGACAAAATTATGAATATAGGACGAGCGAAAATTATAAAAATATCAGGCGAAATAGTGACTTAAGACATAAATTACCATATCGCACAAAGGAAATGAAAAATAATATCGAGCGCAATATGCATTTACGACGTAAATCTTTGTATAGAACTCGTGAAAACGAGAAAAATATGATACGCAACAACAGGTTAAGACAAGCTCCAAATTTTTCAATAAACGAAAATAAAAATAATACTTTTCGTAATAAGATTTTGCGCAAAAATAGAGAATTTAGATTAAATGAAGCACGTTCTAATATTTCACGCATGAGAATGACTCGTAACATTGCGCATTACAGTACAAACGAGAAAATTAAAAATATAGATCGAATGAGAAAATCACGGCACGATAAAGTCGCATATAGAAAGGAACTAAAGAAGAATGCCGAACATAAATTAAAAAACAGAGAACTAGATTTCATAAAATATCGTGAAAACATATATAATCAATTAAAAACATTTGACAAATTTTATCCATTTGCAGAGCTGCAGCAAAAGTTTATTCATTTAAGAGCCGAAACTACTTCATATATTTGCTGTTGCTGTGAGGGACTGTTCTTTAAGCATTCGGTTTCAAAATTCAATGAAACTTCTCTTTATAATAAAATTAATTCCATTAATAATAAAAAAATGCACGCGCTATTAAATGCGGAAGAGTTAATGTCGCGCATATATAACTTTCCAAGCGAATATATTTGTACTACATGTAAAAAATATGCTAATCGTGGTGAGGTTTATAAATTGGCAACCAGCAACAATTTGCAATTTACAAAAATACCCGAATGCTTAAAACGGTTGACAGATTTAGAGGAACGAATGGTAGCGCCAATATTAAATTTTATGCAGATACGTGCTTTAAAGCCTTATGCTTTAAATCCACAATTAGGATTGAAAGGGAGCGTGGTTAATATTTCAATCCAAATCAACGATCTCTTAAATGTTCTTCCAAGAAAATTCAATCAAATGAAAACTATCCAAATCAAATTAAAACGAAATATCAGTCATAAGAGCGACTATATGTTTGAAACAGTAAGACCGGGATTAATTTGCGAGGCGTTGAAGTATTTAGTTACGACACCCCTATATTTAAAATATAATGTTCAGGTAGATCAAAAATATTTAGATATGTTTGATAGCGGCGTTGAAAACGTTAATTTTATTGTGGATGATAAAGATCTTTTAGAAGATGAATTATCTGAATCGACCAATGATGGAGATGATAATCCACCACCTCAACCAACAATTGATTTCAATCAAATTAACAATGACGAAGTCTTGCTAATTGATAATAATACTAATGTGGCACATGACAATTCTTCAAAGATAAGTATAATTGCTCCAGGACAGAGCAAATACCCGTTGCCTTGGCACAAAATGGATGATTTGGATGAATTATGTTTTCCCAAATTATTTGGTGGTCATTCATTTTCATCTCAAAAAATATCTTATAAAGATCGCGCACGTTCAGAAGTTAGACGGTTTGACCGCCGATCATGTATTCCGACCCGTATCTTATTTATGGCAAAAAAAAGTCTGGAGATTGCCTGCATGTCTAACATCAATATATGTTTAAGGCGGTCAAAAAAAAATTTGGCTAAAAAAATTGTTGCTTCAGATGCTATAGATAGCAATTTTATAAACGATTTAGTAAAGTTTGATGATGGTTATAGGTTTTTAAAAAACATTAGATCGTCGCCAGCATTTTGGGAAGATAAGAAAAAAAAATTATTAGCTATGATTCGTCAGTTGGGCCGGCCCACTTTCTTTTTAACTTTATCTGCTGCGGAGTCACAATGGCCAGAATTATTGAAAACGTTGATGAAATACAGCGAATACAATAAAAATATATCTCTACGTGAAGCGTACGCGTTGGATCACAATACGAAAACCACACTGATTAGAAACGATCCAGTTACTTGCTCGAGATATTTTGACTACAAAGTCAACAAATTTATGTGGATGTTGCGACAAGCAAACAGTATTTTTGGCGAGTATGAGGTTATAGACAGCTACGAACGAGTCGAGTTCCAACAGCGCGGCAGCCCGCACGAGCATATATTATTATGGTTAAATAATGCACCGAAATATGATTCAAATTGCAATGAAAGCAATAATAACACATTCATAGATTTTATTGATAGATTCATTACGTGTAAAAATGATTCAGAAAATCCATATGTCAAATTGCAAATACATAAACATGGAAGGACATGTTATAAAGGACAACGAAACAAGGAATGTCGTTTCCACATTCCATATCCCGTTATGAAAAAGACAATGATATTAGAGCCGCTAAGTAAAGATGAACAAGCCCCAAAACAATATAAAACCATACGCGATCTAATGAATAAATTGTATAGAGAGAATAAATATATGAGTTACGAAGATATTCTAAAGGAATTAGGAATGAACGAAACTGAATATATATTGTCAATTCGGAGTTCATTAAAACAGAAGCGCGTATTTTTGAAAAGATCTAGCCTGGAAGTAGCTGTCAACGCTTATAATTCCAATATACTAAAATTGTTCGAGTCCAATATGGATCTTCAGATTATATTAGATGAATATGCGGTAATAAGCTATGTTACTAATTATATTAGTAAGATAGAGGGAGGACTATCCAAGCTTTTACGAGAAGCAGCCATGGATTGTGACAACAATAATAAAAGTATCAAGGAAAAATTTTGTGCTGTAACTAACGTATTTTTAAATAGTAATTTAATGTCAGCACAAGAAGCCGCATACCACGTTCTTTCGTTGTCTTTGTCAAAACAGAGTAGAAAGACAATCTTTATAAATACTCGGCCAACGACTGAACGAGTGTCAATGTTGAAGTCGATCGACACTTTAAAACAATTAAACAAGGATTCAACTGAAATATATGTAGAAGATTTATTCAGTAAATATAGTAAACGCGTTGAAAGTTTAGAATACGTATGTCTAGCTGACTACGCTGCAAATTATGAAAATAGAAAAAAAAAATCATTGGATATTGAAGACGACATTGACATCAATGATGAGGAAATAGAAATAATAAGCCGCCAAAAGTCTGCTATAATAAGATATACAAGATATAAATTATATCAAGACCCAGCCAATTATTATAGAGAAAAAATATTGTTATTCATGCCTTGGCGAAATGAGCTGCAAGAAGTGGAAAATGTTAACTTTGAACAAGTTTTTATCGATCATAAAAGAATAATTGAAGATAACCAACGTAAATTTGCTATTATAAGTGACGAAACTTTAGACGATGCACTAAAATTAATTGAACTCGAACAACTTCATTATGATGATGAACATATAGATCAAAATTCATTTAGTAACAACATTGATATATTACAACAAGAGGGAAATAAAACAACAAATAACAAAACAAAAACGACCTCAACAAACAGTCGATATGCGTGCCCCACTAGGGTTTCCCAAAATCAATTGTTTGAAATGATGCTGCAATTAAATATTAAGCAGCGGGAGTTTGTTATGCATATATTTAAATTGTTCAAAATAGGCAAAATACCATTTAAAATATTCTTAAGCGGATCAGCCGGCGTGGGTAAAAGTATGGTTATAAATACATTATACCAACTGATAACAAGTTATTTCGACAGTCTACCCGGTGGAGATTTAGATAAAATAGTGGTGCTGCTGTGTGCTCCGTCAGGAAAAGCTGCTTTCCTCATCAATGGCGTAACGTTGCATTCCGCGTTTGCATTACCTTGCAGACTATTTGGAGTAAATTTAGCTGAACTATCGAGTGACGTAGCTAATACAATACGCGAACAATTAGCAAAAGTTCAACTCTTAATTATTGATGAGATATCGATGGTAAGTTGCACGATGCTAACTCGTATTGATACTAGATTGCGGCAAATAAAAGGTCTCAATGAACCTTTTGGTGGAGTATCTCTATTAGCAGTTGGCGATTTGAAACAATTGCCACCGGTAAAAGATAAACCGGTATACGAAGTGTCACGTCACAATGAAATGGCTCCATTCTTTGATGTTAATCCTTTGTGGAATACATTTGACTTTTTTGAATTGACAGAGATAATGAGGCAAAAAGACAATTTAGCATTTATCAATGCATTAAATAATTTATCGGAAAATAAAATGACAGAAGTTGATTTAACATTAATAAGGACCAGAGAAGTTGAACGAGAAGAGGTTCCGGAAACAGCAATATGGTTGTACGGAACAAATGACAACGTTGCAGCATACAATAAATTGAAAATTGAACAAAATAAAAATCCGTTAATAATCTCGACAGCCGATCATATCTTTTCAAAAACTTTTATCAATGAACAAAGTAGAAAACTAATTTTAAATTCTTTAAGAAAAGGCAATAAAAACGACATCAGATTGGAGGAGACCATTGATTTAAAAATTGATATAAAGTATATGCTTACAAGTAATATCGATGTTGTTGACGGACTTGTAAATGGCGCTTGCGGTATTTTGAAACACATCACTTTCGATAAGACGAATAAAACTCCAGAAATTTTATGGCTAGATTTTCAGCTTTCGAGAGTGGGTAAAAAGGCCAGAAGTATTCACAGGGAATATATGTTGAATGGCGAAATTGAAAATAATTTGACACCTATAAGGAAATTGGCTCTGCGCATTAACTCCACCGATGAAGAAAAATATCATATTGTGAGAAATCAATTTCCGGTCATAATTGCGGAAGCTATCACAATTCATAAAAGTCAGGGGCAAACATACGAAAAGATTTGCCTTGATTACACAAAGACGGAAAGGCGAATTATACAAATGCAATATGTTGCTCTTAGCCGCGTTACGAATTTAAATGGACTATATATCTTGGGAAGGTTTCATATTAAGAATAATTCAAGTAAAAGGTTGGGAGGCATCGACAAGAATCCGGCTCTGGATGAGTTAAAACGTCTAAGGCAAACAAAGCAATTACAATTATCCTATAATGATTTAAAGAATGAGGCGACATTAAAAATAATTTATCATAATGTCGGAACCCTCAACAATAAACTGGCTCACATTATTCAAGATAAGTGGTTTCATCGTGCAGATATATTATGTTTTAGTGAAACACTATCCAAATCGAACGATAAATTGGATATAGAAAATTTTAAAATAATATTCAGGTCAGATATTAGTGACAAAAGTAGAGGTTTTATTGTTTACTCAAAAAATAATTTATTGGCAAAATTTATAACAGCCGAATATAGGTTCAATGAGAAAGCTTCTATCGAATTAATTCTGATTAGTTCGAATGATAATTTTATTGTAACGGGATACAAAACTCCAAATGTCAATAGATTGATGTTTGAAGCTGCATTTTCAAACGTTATCAGGCAACTTTCAGATAACACTAAAATCATATTTATAGGCGATTTTAATTTCAACATTATTAATGGCGCTTGTGATAAGAATAACTATTTAATAAATTATTTACGAAAGTATAATTTGCAAACTATGTTAGCGAAAAATGACATAACAACAAGTTTAAACACCCAAATAGACGTCGTTTTTAGTAATATTGATAATTTACAAGCCGGCGTATACGAAACGTATTTCAGTTACCATAAGCCGATATACGCAATTTTGCATAACAATTGCTTTATTAATACGATGTTAATACCCGCCAATGTGGATGCTATTTTTGACTCAACTAATATAGACATAACCCTTAATAATGTTAACAATTCCGAGAACGCTTCTATGACAATTACGACTGTTGACGATGCTAATGTTGCCTCTCATATTACTACCACTGCTACTACAAATAAAAAAACGAGTGCAAGAACTACTAAAACGCCTACAATTTGTAGTAATAACACTAATATTGCTGTCACTGAGTTTACTTCTTTAGAACGCACAGAACTAATTCTTCGAAATGTAGTATCGCTAACTACTTCTAATTTCAACGACGCGAGACTTATAGCAGAGCTTAAGTTATTATTTTCTAAGGAAAACGATTTTATTATTGAAATTCGAAACTTATTTTCAACCCATCCAATAATTAACTACAATAACATAAGAACGTCGTGTACTATAGAGAATAAAAACGGGTACAAGCACTTTCACAAAGCCTTTAAAAATTACTTTAGAATTATCACAACCACCGGACGCGGCAATTGTTTTTATGACGCAGTTTCACGCAATATTTGTGGCGATGAGCAATTGTCAAAAATTGTGAGACTACTATGTGTGTACCAAATAGTTCACGACGATGAAATGCGTTCACCTTTCGTCTCATACTCTCAATTTTTCACATGCCGTGAATTGGTATGTGATTGTTGTCCATTTACAACAAGTTGTTATCGGCACATGAATTTGCAAACTCAAATAAGATTACATGCAAGTGACGGGAAATGGGCCTATACCGTCACGCCATACTATTTAGCTAGAGCTCTGAATCGTGATATAGTTGTTTTCACAAACCACACAACAATCGGTCTACTTATTGTCACTGTTCACCGACATTCAACTGCAGATTATTATAATACAACTCTGCAACAAGAGCCCATACTTTTAATTAATTTAGAGAATATGCATTACTCAGCAATATTACCAACGACCAATATTAAATTCAGCGATATTATTCAAGATCCAACCATCTCCCAAATTTTGACTCAAAACATCAACTATACAAGCACGATAATTGAAAATTTGTTAAATGTCCGAAGAAATAGGTGAAAAGTTACAGTATCTTTTCATAAAATAAATAGCTTTATTTATTTCTATCCTACGCTATCTTACCTAATTATACACACAGTTATAATACCTGCCTGTTCGAAATCTTGCTGAAGATCAAAAACAATTTACTTAGTAATTCGGATTAAACAATGAACATGATTGAATCAAGTTATCTTGCGTGCTGAAATACCGCTGGAGTATCCGCATGGTGAACATTTTACGTTTGGTGTTACATTTAAATAACAATTTACTTTTACAGGATCCTACCGAATTGCCTTACTTTTGCTTTTGTCACTTGTTGCTTAGTAGCTGACTTCACTGAATGCCTGAAGATTTGGTTTAAATTTAGCGTCGTGATTTACCTAGAATTACTTTACACGTTAAAAAAAATTTTACCGAGTTAGTTACGCATATGCATATGCATATATATATATATATATATATATATATATATATATATATATATATTTATACATTTACGATTAAAAGTAAAGTAAATAGTATAATAAAAAGTATATAGTGTTCTAACATATTCTTGGAATATCGATTTGCAGCAAAATAGTCTAAATAACAGCAGCTTAAGAAGTTAGGACCAGAAAGGAAACACACAAAACTAAAAACATTTTATTTTAAAAATAATTTTGAATTATTTTTAATATATATATATATATATATATATATATATATATGAGTAGTTTTGCAATAACAATTGAATATAAATTTAATCGCTCTGGAATGAGTTGAATTTGGACATCGTGATTAGACTTTTATTCAACAGACGACTTGAATTTATAATTAAATAACGAACAAGTTGAATTTGAGCATCGTAATTAATTTTACATTCCACAGACAAGTTCAAGTTATAAATAGTCAACGAATGAGTTGAATTTTATCATCGTGCATGAATTAATAATAGATCAACAAATGAGATGAATTTTAGCATGATAAATGAATTCGTATTCAACAGACGAGTTCAGTTTGAGAATCGTAAATAAATTAACATTTACTCAACAAATGAGTTGAGTTTGGACATCGTGATTAAATTTTTATTCAACAAACGAGTTGACTTTATAAAAATGATGAACGAGTTGAATTTGGACATCGTGATTAAATTGTTATTCAACAGACGAGTTGAATTTATATTTAATTAACGCATGAGTTAAATTTGAACATCGTAATTAATTTTATATTTCACGGACAACTTCAAGTTATAATTAGTCAACGAATGAGTTGAATTTTAGCATCGTGCATGAATTTATAATATATCAACAAATGAGTTGAATTTTAGCATGATAAATGAATTCGTATTCAACAGACGAGTTGAGTTTGAGAATCGTGAATAATTTAACATTTGCTCAACAAATGTGTTGAATTTGGACATCGTGATTAAATTTTTATTCAACAGACGAGTTGAATTTATAGTTAATTAACGAATGAGTTGAATTTGAACATCGTAATTAATTTTATATTCCACGGACAACTTCAAGTTATAATTAGTCAACGAATGAGTTGAATTTTAGCATCGTGCATGAATTTATAATAGATCAACAAATTAGTTGAATTTTAGCATGATAAATGAATTCGTATTCAACAGATGAGTTGAGTTTGAGAATCGTAAATAAATTAACATTTACTCAACAAATGAGTTGAATTTGGACATCGTGATTAAATTTTTATTCAACAAACGAGTTGACTTTACAAAAATAATGAACTAGTTGAATTTAGACATCGTGATTAAATTTTTATTCAACAGACGAGTTGAATTTATAGTTAATTAACAAATGAGTTGAATTTGAACATCGTAACTCATTTTATATTCCACGGACAACTTCAAGTTATAATTAGTCAACGAATGAGTTGAATTTTAGCATCGCGCATGAATTTATAATATATCAACAAATGAGTTGAATTTTAGCATGATAAATGAATTCGTATTCAACAGACGAGTTGAATTTGAGAATCGTAAATAAAATAACATTTACTCACCAAATGAGTTGAGTTTGGACATCGTGATTAAATTTGTATTCAACAAACGAGTTGATTTTATAAAAATAATGAACGAGTTGAATTTAGACATCGTGATTAAATTTTTATTCAACAGACGAGTTGAATTTATTGTTAATTAACAAATGAGTTGAATTTGAACATCGTAATTAATTTTATATTCCACGGACAACTTCAAGTTATAATTAGTTAAAGAATGAGTTGAATTTTAGCATCGTGCATGAATTTATAATATATCAACAAATGAGTTGAATTTTAGCATGATAAATGAATTCGTATTCAACAGACGAGTTGAATTTGAGAACCGTAAACAAATTAACATTTACTCAGCAAATGAGTTGAGTTTGGACATCGTGATTAAATTGTTATTCAACAGACGAGTTGAATTTATATTTAATTAACGAATGAGTTGAATTTGAACATCGTAATTAATTTTATATTCCACGGACAACTTCAAGTTATAATTAGTCAACGAATGAGTTGAATTTTAGCATCGTGCATGAATTTATAATATATCAACAAATGAGTTGAATTTTAGCATGATAAATGAATTCGTATTCAACACACAATTTGAGTTTGAGAATCGTAAATAAATTAACATTTACTCAACAAATGAGTTGAATTTGGACATCGTGATTAAATTTTTATTCAACAAACGAGTTGACTTTATAAAAATAATGAACGAGTTGAATTTAGACATCGTGATTAAATTTTTATTCAACAGACGAGTTGAATTTATAGTTAATTAACAAATGAGTTGAATTTGAACATCGTAATTAATTTTATATTTCACGGACAACTTCAAGTTATAATTAGTCAACAAATGAGTTGAATTTGAACATCGTAATTAATTTTATATTCCACGGACAACTTCAAGTTATAATTAGTCAACGAATGAGTTGAATTTTAGCATCGTGCATGAATTTATAATATATCAACAAATGAGTTGAATTTTAGCATGATAAATGAATTCGTATTCAACAGACAAGTTGAGTTTGAGAATCGTAAATAAATTAACATTTACTCAACAAATGAGTTGAATTTGGACATCGTAATTAAATTTTTATCCAACAAACGAGTTGACTTTATAAAAATAATGAACGAGTTGAATTTAGACATCGTGATTAAATTGTTATTCAACAGACGAGTTGAATTTATATTTAATTAACAAATGAGTTGAATTTGAACATCGTAACTCATTTTATATTCCACGAACAACTTCAAGTTATAATTAGTCAACGAATGATTTGAATTCTAGCATCGCGCATGAATTTATAATATATCAACAAATGAGTTGAATTTTAGCATGATAAATGAATTCGTATTCAACAGACGAGTTGAATTTGAGAATCGTAAATAAAATAACATTTACTCACCAAATGAGTTGAGTTTGGACATCGTGATTAAATTGTTATTCAACAGACGAGTTGAATTTATATTTAATTAACGAATGAGTTGAATTTGAACATCGTAATTAATTTTATATTCCACGGACAACTTCAAGTTATAATAATTAGTCAACGATTGAGTTGAATTTTAGCATCGTGCATGAATTTATAATATATCAACAAATGAGTTGAATTTTAGCATGATAAATGAATTCGTATTCAACAGACGAGTTGAGTTTGAGAATCGTGAATAATTTAACATTTACTCAACAAATGAGTTGAATTTGTACATCGTGATTAAATTTTTATTCAACAAACGAGTTGACTTTATAAAAATAATGAACGAGTTGAATTTAGACATCGTGATTAAATTTTTATTCAACAGACGAGTTGAATTTATAGTTAATTAACAAATGAGTTGAATTTGAACATCGTAATTAATTTTATATTCCACGGACAACTACAAGTTATAACTAGTCAACGAATGAGTTGAATATAAGCATCGCGCATGAATTTATAATATATCAACAAATGAGTTGAATTTTAGCATGATAAATGAATTCGTATTCAACAGACGAGTTGAATTTGAGAATGAGTTGAGTTTGGACATCGTGATTAAATTGTTATTCAACAGACGAGTTGAATTTATATTCAATTAACGAATGAGTTGAATTTGAACATCGTAATTAATTTTATATTCCACGGACAACTTCAAGTTATAATAATTAGTCAACGAATGAGTTGAATTTTAGCATGATAAATGAATTCGTATTCAACAGACGAGTTGAGTTTGAAAATCGTAAATAAATTAACATTTACTCAACAAATGAGTTGAATTTGGACATCGTGATTAAATTTTTATTCAACAGACGACTTGCATTTATGGTTAATTAACGAATGAGTTGAATTTGAACATCGTAATTTATTTTATATTCCACGGACAGCTTCAAGTTATAATTAGTCAACGAATGAGTTGAATTTTAGCATCGTGCATGAATTTATAATATATCAACAAATGAGTTGAATTTTAGCATGATAAATGAATTCGTATTCAACAGACGAGTTGAATTTGAGAATCGTAAATAAATTAACATTTACTCAACAAATGACTTGAGTTTGGACATCGTGATTAAATTTTTATTCAACAAACGAGTTGACTTTATAAAAATAATGAACGAGGTGAATTTGGACATCGTAATTATTTTTATATTCCACGGACAAGTTCAAGTCATAATTAGTCAACGAATGAATTTAAGTTGGGTATCGTACATAAATGTATAATAGAAGTTGAGCTTGAGAATCGTAAATAAATTTTTATTTAGCCAACAAATGAGCTGAATTTTAGCATCGTAAATGAAAATATATTCGGCAGACGAACTCAATTTGATCATTGTAAATGAATTCATATTCAACAGACGAGGTGATCTTGAGAATCGTAAATGAATTGATATTTATTCAGCAAATGAGGCAAATTAGAGCATTGTAATTAAATTTATATTCAATAAATGAGTTGATTTGTAGCATCGTAAATTAATATATAATAATGCAAACACACAATTTATAGTATTATGTGTGTTTGTCTCTATATGCAGCTAAACACGCATTTTT